CCCCAAAACCCCAAAACCCCAAAACCCCGGTTTAATTTTGATATTTTGAAATTTATATAATTATACTACATAGAAATGCGGGAGGTACAAGATATGTCAGGGCATATGAATCAGAACGAGATACATGATCCTAAGGAACATGAGAGCATGATAACAAGGCCCAAACCTTTGAGGTTGAAGCATTCAAAGAAGTACCTTATGAGCATCTTAAAGGCGCTAGATGCGATGAAAAAGTTTTCTAAAAATAATGATGTGAAGTATGGTTGTAAAGCAGGGTTTTAGGCAGTTTTGAGGGTAGAATTGTTCCATGATCTAAGATTTTATGCAAGCGTTTGGTTTGATCGAACAATTGTATTGCTTTCGTTATTTATGACCTTTAGTGTTTAGTTTGGGACTTGGTTGGAGGTTCAATCATTTAAATCTTAAAAATCAAGATAAAGAACTTTATATTTAATACATAATATAGAGATAGATTAATGTTTGATAGATGATTGCACGAATGTATGGAATTTGAGATGAGAGCAATTAAAATTATTGAGTATCTAGACTCCCATGCTTCAACATTGAAAAATTCTGATTTACTTAGAATAGATGCAAAGAATATTGGAGGCTTGTGGAATGAATTGGTTGATAATCATACTTTTAAAATATTTTCAGCTAAATATGTGAAACGTCAATTTATAAATAATGAACAAGACTTGACAAAGACTCTAAAACTAAAGCTTAAAACTTTAACTAAGAAATATGATAATCTAAAAATGAAGCAAAAATAAACTTTCTGAAATGGTTGAAGCATTAAAGGAGCGAAAGCACAAAAAGCATGATACAGCAGAGCCAAAAAGTAAGAGAATTAAAGGTAATATATAGCAGCCATGGAGAAAATAAATGGAGAGATCTTCCATGATTCTGATCCAAGCGATGATAATAAACCTAGTTTAGAAGAAGAAAATATAGAATTCCAATCCCATGATGCTAATTTGCAAGGAATGGAAAATATGGATAATGATAGAAGAGACAAAATGAAATACATCAGCTCTTTTCAAAGATGATTGCAGGCATTCAGGAAATATGTAGCCGATAAAAGGAGTGAGAAAATTGAGGAATGAGATGGACTATGAGCTCAGACAAAAACGGAGATTGAGCAACAAATTGAGAAGTTAAAAAATCCGGCTCTTATACTAAATAAGACTGAATTGAAGGATATTGAAAGAAGGACAGATAAACTTTGGGATAAGCTTAGAGATAAAAATCTTTTTAAAGAGTTTACCGACGACAGAGTCTGTTGCCAATTTTTTATGAATGAAGATGATATTTTAAACAAATCTAGAGCAATGTTGAAGATTAAAAATGATGAAGTTTTTAATTGAAGAATAAAGTTAACGAAAATATCAAAGAAGGTTTTTCACTTTAGCAAAACCAATGTCAAAGATAGTGATTTAGAAGAGATAAGACGTTTGGCATGAGAAAAAGAGAGAAGGGATTTTGGTTTTATTGAGAGTATTACTAATCAACCTTTATTAAAGAGTGATCTTGATTTGGCTACTTCTGAATCTAAAGCAACAATTGTTAGCACTTAATAGTTATACAATTGGACCAAGATTCAAAAGACAAAGGAAAGAAAGAGAGAAGCATCAAAAGATTGATAAATTATTCTCTAGCTATGAAACCTATCAAGCATGTGAAACAATTCAGAGGAATCATAATCAATTTCAAAGTGATGGGATTACTTCTGCCTTTGGTGATTTATGAGTGAAGAATAAAAATAAATAAAAGACTTTTAATTGGAGCATCTGGAACAGAAAGTGATGAAGACGAATTAAATCAAGAAATAAAGAGAATAAACAGAGAAGAGGAAGAAGAATGCCTTATCAATAATAATTTTTGGAAAGAAAACAAAAAATATCTGGCCTCCAATTCAGAGAATCGACCTTCTTCTGCTCCTATTTACATCTTATCAAGCTCTAAATCTGAAGCTGATACTTTTAAATTTAATTAAAATTTTCAAACAAAGCCTCAAAAATTCATTTAACAAAACTTCAATGGAACCATCGTCATCTTAATATGAGTTTGTAATCTAATTTTAATAGTTATAGAGTATATCAGAGAATGAAGGACGGCAGATACATAGCTCTATAAATAATTCAATAGCAGAGGACACCGAAGAATCCAGGGAAGAGATTATAGAAGAATCAAAATCTGATATGCACATGGAAGTTGACAGACAACACTCTGATGATGAGATTAATTATCCGCTCGAAGGATTATCAATATCTTCCAACTTATGCTCAGAGCAAGATCAAGCTTTCTTCCGTGACTGCACTAGCAAACTTCCGAATTTGCAGTCTGTTGAATTCCAAATCAGCGACAAAATTCCTGAAGGCTTCTTTGAGTTTATTAATGATTACTTCCCAGATGAAGTTCAAATCTGCAAATGGTCTGGCACAATCTCTCCTGAGTTCTTGCCAATTTCTTATTCTTAGATTCAATACTCAAAGTAAGTGTCAATGTCAAAGAAGCTTTGGAAATAAGCAACTTCAGCATGGATCAAGCCAAGCTCAGTATACTTATTGAGCAATGTAAGGCAGAAAAGGAGCTAATATTTACATCATGTTTGTTTAAAATTAGAGACATGCAAAACCTATTCAAAAATTCTGAAAGAACTAAAAAGATAGACTTACTATTTAACGACAACCACTATGTTGATGTATCTATTGAACCAGCTGAAGACCTTCCTATACTCCCATTCAGCGACATTCTTGAAGCTTACAAAGATCCAGAAGATTCTTAAAATTATTTTCAATCAGTGCATAGGATAAAGGGGTTTTGGGGTTTTGGGGTTTTGGGG